ACAGCAGCAAAAGGTGCTGCATGATGAGTTTGTCTGGCGAGCTGTGCTGTGGCAGACCGTGAGGGGAATGTAAAGCATACGTGTGTTACGTGCTGAGCGGGAACAAACCGCTCCGAGTTACCATCTTTCAGCTGTGCTGCTTGAGTAAGTTGCATCTTCGTGTGGGCAGCCACGTGTCACGGGCTCTCTTACACTTACTGGCTCTAAATGGTGGTTTCAGGGCTCGCTCTTCCACGGCCTGTTGTGATGGGACTGTAGCGATCAGTTTGTTTCTCTGTTTTGTGAAAAAGATTTCTGCCCGCAGCATGTTTGCTTTGCTGTCCTGTTAAATAGAGCTCTCGTTGTTTCATTCCAAAAGTAAATTCGGCCATGATCTTGATATTTTTGTGTATCAAATATGTTCCCTAGTGTGCAAACTGGAAGCAAAGGCTTGTGGCATCAGCACGATGCTTACTGCCCTTCGTGTCTTTAAGCATTTCTAGTTTAAGCGTTGCAGGTTGTCTTTGTAACGACCTGCTCACGTAGGCATACCTGCTTACAGGTTCACCTAAGCTGTTAACATAAGTGTGTTATTTCCTCATAAATTCAGCTAGTTCAGTGGTTTTAAACCATTTGGCCTTAGTTCCTCTTTGAATGCTGTGCCTTTGCACCACAGACTCATCGTGGAGATGCTGCGGTTCACCACGCTGCAGCCTTGCTGGGTGACCCTCCGCAGGCTAGGCTGAGGAGTGCTGCCTTTGTGTTGGTGTGGCAGGGTTTTTTGATAGTTCCTAGTTTTGGCAATGATAATACTGCCTTTGCTTCTGAAGCTAAACAGTAATTATTTATTTGTTCCTTGAGGTTTGTGATGAGACTCTTTTTCTGGACAGTGTCACTTTTCATGGAGTGAGACTATTTAAAAGGTAGAGGTAGTAAAAATAATGGCTAGACATAACAGGTGAACGTATGTCAGTATTCGTAGGTAGCTGTAGCATGAAAATCTTGTCCTACTTGTTAACACCTGTGCTCCACATACTCAAAAAACAGTGAGTGATATATGAACAGTTAAATTCTTGGTTATTTTCTGGTTAAAATGGAATCTTGATGATCCATCCATCTAGCTGTCGGTTAATAATAAGCTGGCTACAGGTTAATGAGCAGTCTCATTGCTTGCCTTCATCCTGTAAATGCTTACCTGGCTTTTCTTTCTGTAGGCTTTGAAATTCTATATCCATCAGTGATTGTGTGATGTACAGCTGGGAAGGAAGCTCGCCCACAGAATTTCTGTTCATCTGTTCTCTGTCCTGGAAGATTGATCCTACTAAATATACCCATGTGCTTTTATTTTTATATGTTTTATAATTATACTCAATTTAAACTTGAATTCTGTTTGCAGTAGAGTTTATGTGAAAAGTCACTTCTCTCTTTTAGCAGGAACCACGTTTTGTTTCTGTGCAGCACTTAGCAGAGTAGAATCTGGGGGGTTCTAGGCTATGCTGCATTGCAAATATTACTAAGGATTTCATTTGCCTTTTTTCCAGTGTAAATAAAGCATGTGTGTGTACGTGAAATTGTCTTAGAGTGTCATTTAAATCTCCTTTCAGTGACTTAAGTCAAGACTGTTGATGTAAGTTAACTACTTCTTCACAGGCTGCGTGCAATTTCATCAAATCTCACGTGGACTCCAGCAGTGTCGATTCCCTCTTCTATGCTGCACAGTCCATCCGCGTCCTGTCTGGCTGCGAGGTGAGTCTGGAGCCCTGAGCTCTGAAGGCAGATGTTACCAAGGAAATACTTGCCTTGATCTTTTTCTTGGGTTTATTTGATGCATAACTTCAACTTTTACTTTCTTTTGGTGGGTTGTACTCTGTTGTCTCTTAGGTAAATAGCTCATGAAGTGTCTGAGAGTGCTCTGTACGAGGCAAAGTGTAAAGATATAAAGCAGGTATTAGGCCCCGAGTAATTCTGGGGGGCTGTTTCTTGATTAAACGTTGGTAGCTAAGAAAAAAGGAGCCAGCACATTTTAACAGAAGTCACGGCAGCTGTGTCGATTAAAAACTCTTTGGGTGGATGGTGAAGTGTTCGGATGTGAACCCCGTGTTGAAACACTGCAACAGTACAAATGCAGGTCCCCCTTGCTGGACTGTGGGTGCGTTATCCAAACCCTGTTTTTCATCAGTACCACTGGCACTGCACAATGATATGGTACCAGATGAAAAGCTGTAGCAGTTGATAGTTGACAGCAAAACTTAGGGATTTAATTAATTAAACTAAAAGGTAACAAATGATAAAGGGCTTTTCTCCAAAAGCTTATAGTCATTCACCAATCAAGTGTCTTGCTCCAGGAAGAAATCAGTGTTTTTTCCAGTGTGAATCAACGTGTTCCCTGTGTTCTTCCTCAGGTTACCATTTCAAACGAGACCAGGGAGCTGCTGCTTGCAGCTGTCAGTGAGGATTCCTCAGTCACCCAGATCTTCCACGCCGTTGGGGCCCTGAGTGCCTTTGGCCTTCCTTTAGCGTCCCAGGAAGCTCTTGGTGCGCTTACTGCTCGTCTTAGCAAAGAGGAAAACGTGCTGGCGTAAGTCTTTCAGACTCACTGTTGCGTGTTTATCCCCTAGGCAGTTGGGGTTTGGAGTAACGGATATTTTAACACTTAATTTTTGTAACATAGGTGTAGCAGAGTAGGTGCTGTGTTTTCATTTGATGTGTTTGTCCAGTTCAGTGTTGTCCTTCGGGTGGGATGAAAAATACTTTTTTGGGCTATTTTCTGTGTGATTTTGCAAATGACCTTCACGTATTCAGTTTAGTTCAAGAAAAATGGTCAGGAAGAAGGATGTATCCCAAAGAAGACTCCTCTTTTAGAAAGATTCACAACGTACTTTTTACTTAATCCCCAGCCGTGGTTCTGTGCCATTGATGGCTGCGGTACATACGCTTAATGCTCTTCCTCAGCCCTGTTGTTTGTAGGCTGGGATGCCGACACTGTGAGGTGGAAAAAACGTGCCAGTAAGCGGAAGGAATCCTGGCATGTATCACCAAAGAATTAAGAATCTTACTGTGAAATGAGAGAATAGAGCTTTCCTTAAAAGCTGGGGAAGAAAGGGAAACTTTAGAACTTGTTTTTTTGATGAAAAAAAATGGGTTCCTGGAAGCCTCAGTAGCAAGTCTGGGGATCCGTGCTGTACAGGGATCAGCGTTTGGTTTCTTCTCTGCCTTTGCAGAGTTTATTGCAGCGCTGATGCGGCTAAAGTGGTGCTCCCCTAACAAATTCCACATTTGCACTAAATCACTTCATGTTCATTGTTGCGAGTCAACTGAATGAGTAATACCTGGTTTACACTTCATTCAGACTAGAAGCTGTAGTTGCTTTGATTTAGATGACGTCTGGCTTTTAAGGAAGGAAAAATTATACAATGGTTTTGTTTTGTTTGTTCTTGTTTAAGAACCATCCAGGCTTTGGAGACGGCGTCTTACTTGTCCCAGCAGGCAGATCTAAGTGGCATTGTTGAGGAGATAGAGGTAGGACCATGCTGTGCTCTCTAACTTTTCAGGAATTTTAGACCTCTGCAGTATTAAAAGCTGTATTAATGTGATACACAAAATGAAAAACCAACCTGGCTAATTCCTTGCCTGCATGATGTGGGTTGGCTCGGCTCTTCCTTTCAAGCCAGTATTTCTTCTGGACTTGTAACTGTTTGACAGTGGACTGAAACACAGAAAGTCATGACTTTTAAATATAATTAAATCCACTAAATGCTGAAGGTTTCTTTTTCTTCCTGTTTCTAGATGACTGTTACAAGATACATCAGTGATTCCATACAGATACTCTTGATTACAGGCCTAACAGTAGAGTTAACTTCTGTGAATCTACTAGAATGCAATTTAAATTTTAGTAACTCTTTCTGTCAGGATCTTGTTGCTCGCCTGGATGACTTGGGTGGAGTTTATCTGCAGTTTGAAGAAGGAATTGAGACAACTGCACTGTTTGTTGCTGCTGCCTATAAGCTGTCAGACCATGTGGGCACGGAGCCAGCGATGAAAGAGGTCTGTATCTGCCTTTTCCTCCTTCACACGTTGTAGCTCACAAAAAGGATCTGCCTAGTTCCTGTTGTGCCGTGCCAGAGGCCGGTATGACTTGGTAGAATTTCTGCTGGAAAAAATAATGAGCACACTCAGTGAAAGTGGACATCTCAGAGGGAATGTTAAGTAGTAGAATCTGGGAGAAAATTCCACTTTCAAGATCACAGACTGAATTCAGTTTGGTTTTTTTGCTTTTTCAAACATACAGAAGGAAATCGCAAGTGAGGCCTAGTTTTTCACTATTTATTGAGACAAGCTGTTGAAAAAACCCCTTCTTGTTTCAGAGTTTGTTCTGGTATTTGGCACTTGTCTAGCACTTTCCAGCATTTCAAAGCATTTTGCAAATGTTATTTACCTGTGAGGAAGTGCAGCACCCTAGTTTGGGGTGCCCAGAAGGGAAACAACATTAGTACCATATGCCTGCAGGAATCCAGATGCAAAAACTTGTTGTCTAAAACGAATGACTACTGGAAATTCCTTTTGAGCTTGATTAAGGTAGAAATCGTTACTGCAAGCTGTCCACTTAGTAATTTTTTTCCACGACAAGTTAACTGTGTTAGATGTACTTTTGATTGAGAATGGCAGCTCCCTAAAGCACAAGCCGAAGTGGCAACGTCGAGACAGAAGCCAGTGTCAGGCATCTGAGTTCATTCCTGGCTCTCTTCCATGCTGCTGCCAAACAGACTAACGCAAATTAATTTTGATGTCGTTTTTGAGTTGGTGATTCTGCTACGCACAATTCAAACTGTCAGCGTCCAAATGATGTTCAAAAAAAAAAGACCAATTAAGGAAAATTATTTAGTGTCGTTTCAGAATTGTGCTGTCAGAAGTGCTATTGTTGGGGCTTAAAGCTTTATCTCTTGTGAATGGTGAGAGTGCCTCCAGAAGGCCACAAAACTCTCTTTAGAAATTAACATGTAGTATGTGAAAAAATAGCTCTGTAGCTCCCTTTTTTTCCCCTGTAATTTAAATGAGAGTGTCAGTTGCTGATTAGGGTCTGGAGCTATGCCATGCCCTCCATATAACTGCAGGGTTTGCACTATGCAGGAGTTCTGTAGCGTCTGGCTGGATGCTTTCGCTAGTTGTGAAGTACATTGCTGCTCGTTAGTACAAGTAGGAGGGTGAAAATTTGAGATGCAGTAGATTTCATTCAGAAGTGTTCTTCTAGGTTACTAAGTTGTATGCCCGCTCCTTTGTTTGGGATTGCCTTTCATTATTCTCATTTCTGATTAGAATGTAGCCCACAATCCTTTGCTTGGGTCAAAGTACAGGTAACCAATCCCTCTGTTTTCCAGACCAGCAGGGAGTGATGGAAGAATCCAAATAACATGGCATGCCCTGCGGAGCGTGGTGCAGACGCACTAGCTCTACAAAGTCAGGCTGCAAAACCAGCTGGGGGACGCGATCCCACCCCACTCCTCCTTCGGAGAGAACAAATTAGCTCTGGCACGTCCCAGAGCCAGAGCTGGCTCTGTGCTCCTGGTGGTACTGCTTTAAAGCTAATCCTCTTAGCCCCAGGGCACTGCTGAGCCTGAGGGGATAAGCCTGCGTGGGCCTAGACTGGCTCCTTCCAGAGCCCTTAGGGTGCTTTGCATCACCACGCTGTGGCCTTCCCGGCTTGGCAGGTAGCCAGGATGTCTAGCCTAGTCGTCCTCCACTGTATGAAGACAGTTGTATGGTTCCTGGAGCCACATTGTCTTTTTGCAGCTGGACACAGTCTGGATAGTTGATCTGACGGCATCTTCCATTCTGAAACGCGTAGTTTGAAGAGCTAGATCCAAATTCTGTTTCTGCAAGTTTTTAGCACAATTAATTGCAGCAATTGTGGTTGGAACCTCCCAGCCAAGCATAAGAATGATAATGTGACACTCAAAAGGTAGCTAATTTTGGGTTACCTCATAACTTGAGTTATTTTTAAAGCAAGTGGGAAATTAAACAGTTTTTATGAATGATGTTTTTTTTAATAACATTGTACTGAGCCAGTCTGCAATGTTGTGGTAAGCCGCTGGTGCTTAGATGTGATTTGCTTTTCCTCTTTCAGGATCAAATTATCCAGTTGATGAATGCAATCTTTAGCAAGAAGAACTTTGAGACACTCTCAGAGGCCTTCAGCGTTGCTTGTGCCGCAGGTGCTTTATCCCGGAACCGCTACCACTTGCCTGTCATTGTTGTGCCCGACGGGCCTGCAGCCGTGTCTCACCATCAGCCCGTACTCAGGGTGAGTCCTTAGCTCCAAATCTTAACTCCTCTCTTGGCTCAGTCTTTAGTATTGTAGGTCTGGGCTGACTGAACGTAAGGTGATGTCTCTCATTTTTAGCTCCAGGACTCAGGTTCCAGGAGATCTGGGGTTTTAGTGCTTTTATGAAGTGATTCTTGGGAACCGCTGCGTACCCAGGGCTTACCAGACACTGCCTGAAGAAGGCACTGTATGGGGGTCAGCTCTGCTGATTACAAACTTTATCGTTCCCAGTTACATTAGAAAGAGCTGGGTGAATCTGGGATGCTGGGCAGGGGCGAGTTCTGTGTATAATACAGAGGGGTAGCGAGTCGTCTGCACTCCTGCATTCCTTCTGGGACAACGGGTTTCATGGAAACTTTTGTTTTTCTATTGTAGCTACAAGTGACTGACGTTATGTCCCAGCCACTGACTCAAGCTTCTGTAAAGCTTGACTACGCCAAGTCTGCATCTAGCAAAGCCACTGTCCTTCAGCAGACAACATTTGCTCTGTCAGGGTAAGAAAATAATCTTTATTTTCACAGTTTGTCAGGCAAGCAGGTGTTATTTAAACAGCGTTGGACTTACTTTCCTTATGTATTCTTCCACCTGAAAAACGTTTGTATGATGGAACACTCAAAATGCTGTAGTTGCATTTGGTTGGTAGTGGGTGACTGAGCACGTTTGGTAGTGATGGTGAATTTCTGTTGTTTTTCTTTTGAATTGGAGTAGGAAATTGCAATGTTCTTCTGACTTCGGGGGAACTTTGAAGAGTTCTTTTCCCGCTGTGCTTAGCAATGTTAGTTTTGTGCTGGGTTTGTCTGCTTCCTCCCTTAATCTAGCATAGTTGGAGACTTCTGGGTAGCAAGATGTTACATATTTGTAGGCTGCTGTTTGTGTCCTAGAGGATACTTAACACCTTGCTTTTGTTATAGAGATGTCTTTGAGCTGGACTTCATGAATGTGAAACCTGCAAGTGGATATTACGATTTCTCTATCAGTGTTGATGGAGACAAGCGGTTCATTGCTAACAAAATTGAGGTGGGTGTGCTTTTTGATGGCATTTTAATTCTGTGCCTGATCACTGAAATGGCTTTTTATTTATACCCATTAAGGATGTTGCCAGTTGTATGGCATTTTTATCACATGTTTTTCCATAATGCGTTGGATTTTGACTCAGGATTACGACCAGTAACCAGATTAATATATGATCAAAAGATTTGTGTGAATTTTGAAAAGCTGACTTATTACTTAGATGCTGATCTGACAGCGTATGAACAGGGGCTAGCAGTGGATGTGTTAATATATAAGCCCAAAGTAGCTGTGCAAAAATTATTACTAAGAATGTTAGTTCTTCAGACTGTTGAAGATTTGAGTCCGTAAATCTCAAGGCTTGGCTAGCAGTTGTCTGGCGATAGCCTGATGTATGGAAGCTGAGCATTTGTTCTCTGTTTGTATAAGCTCTGGAGCCCTACAAGAGAGTCAAGGGGGTCTTTTGGTATCTCCTAACTCTGTATATTGTGATGCTTTTGTAGTGGGGAAACCGTGACCAAAGCAAATGGAAATGAAGTTTTCATTTCCTGCATACATACCCCTTTTTTGGTGGCAAAAGCTGTTGTACCACACCTTTCTGAAGAAGAGTTTTATCTATAAACACTCAGAGGCTCACTTTCCTCGAGTTTTACAGTGGGAAGAATGTGACCTCTGTGACTATTCCTATAGTCACCCCAGTGTCAATAGCTAAGAGTGCTCTTCTCCAATGATGTCTGCTCCCAGGGTTAGTTTTTAAGGAAAAGATTAGCTTTTAAAGTCTTTCAGCACAGTCAGCTTGGAGTGGAGGAGGACACTTATTGACAACTGCTAACCTTTACTCTGTGTATCAAATTGATGTTGTCGTTGTAGTAGTAATGGCACTTAGGAGTGTCAAAAGGGGATTGATTGGTCCTGCTTGAGCTCGCTGCTGGCACACAGAGGTACCGGTAGGAACGTATTAACGCTGGGGTGGCTTTGTGTGAGCCGCCTCTAATAAGACACGTCGTTACGGGGGAGGACTGCTGAGGGAGCTGTGCTTTTTTTTTTTTCCTTACTGTTATTAGCATTAATTGTCCTTAATGCACCATCGTTTTGACAGTAATGAGCTAAACCAGTGGGTTATTACTCCGGCAGAGACTACATTTCCTGGCATTAAAATATTTGAGAGATGTTTGTGTACTGTTCAGTTGGAGGGGCTGTGTGTAGCAGCTCAGAGTTCCCTTCACGTAACTTCTTTTAAAATTAATATTTCATTAGTCTGTCTTTCTTTGCTCCCATCTTGGAACAAACTAAGGCTTTACTAAAATTAGCCTGAATAGTCTACATGTTAGTGGATCCATTTTCAGGGGTAACCTCTATCTTTAATTATGCTTTTTGTTGTAAAGGAACTGTCAAGACTGTTGTGTTTGAAGCCTGACCTGAATACTTTGATTTATGTTTTTACATATTTTTCCCACAAGTTCCCTGTGAATTATTTTTCAGGGTGAGGGTGTGGGACTGGTTCACATGAGCAAACCTGTAATAACAAATTGTAGTATACGATGAAAAATATCTTGGCAGTGAAACTTTAATTCTCCAGGGGAGCATTTGTAAGCTGTGAGAACAAATGTGCTAATTAAAAACTACAGACTGCAGTAACTGCTTAGTTTTGAGAGAAGGATTGAAATCAGTCAAACCCACTGAGGTTCACTGCCTAGATGGTGTGTGGTTTGGGACTGGGGAGAGGGCAGGAAGTCATTTCTCTGCCTGGGGTTTATACTGCACTTGGCCCAGAGGAGTGTGATAAATGGCAGGGCCTTATTGGCTGCCCTGCACCAAGTGATAAATGCTGTGACTGAAGGAAGGCTTGCTGAACAAAGTGCAGGTCTGCAGGAAGGCTTTGGCTTTTGCCTGCTGGTAATAAAATCAGCAGAAACCTATTAGGCTTTAGGAGCCAACAAAGGCCTAAGTGGTTGCTGTCCGGCGACCGACCTCACCTCAGATTGCTATCCAGTAAGCAGAAGTACCTATGCACATGCAGTTTTACGTCGTGTCATTTGTAATGTAATCTTTAATAGCTAGTTTCTGCTCATTCAGAAGGAAAACTAGTTGAATCTGGATAGTTGGACTGTTCCATTAAAAGCCATTCTCCGAAGGGCAGCTAACTCCGGCACAACCGAGAAGTTGGTGCCTTCAGAGCTGGCTGCTTGTGCAGGGAGGAATGGGATGGGTTGGGGCTAGTGACTGATGCAGGAGCTCTGCTAGGAGGTAGATTGCTGTAGATCCTTCTGTTCAGGTTAGGTTCTGTCTTTGACTTAGCGTAAGGCCTTCTATGGGGAAGGGGACGGAAGAGGTAAAGCTTGTGCAGTGAACTTGACCGTAACTAGTATATGTAGAACGCTCTGCATCATTTTCTGTTGTGCTTTGTTGCAGCTGAAAGTAAAAGTTTCCACAGAAGTTGGGATTACTAATGTAGATCTTTCTACTGTGGATAAAGATCAAAGCATTGCACCAAAAACAACCAGGTAAAACAACTCGGTGTGTGTGATCCTTTAAGAGGCAACTCTGGCTCTAGACCAGAGGTCTTCTGAGCTTTACCTACTTCAGCTAAAGCAGAGGAATCTTGTGTTGGAATAACTACAAAGTTATACCCATGCTGTTTCTCTTAAACCTGCAAGTTCATTGTGAGGATAATGGTTATTTTTATAGGTGGTTTTCCTTAATACTGAAATGAGCACTAACAGAAGCCAGGCAGTCTCTTCTGTTCCTTTGTTGGCACCGCTCCATAGCGAAAGCAAGTTAAAAGAATTGTGTCAATGTTTCTGATACTATTGGGCCTTGGTAGAGATGCTTGAAAGCAACATGTACGCTGTGTTTGGGGGGTGTGGCTGCCCCATTGCTAGCTGTACTTGAACTTAATGTAACCGGTTTTAACTGACATCGGTTAGAATGTAATGTATGGAATTTGACTTGAGTTGCACAGCCTCGCTGGGGCCCCTCTGTGTGTGTTGATACAGCCTTCCTGTGCTGAAGCTTGAGTGGCTGTTTTTTCTGTTCTGCTGCCATCACACCTTCGGTTGTAGCATAGCCTTGGCTAAAAGGAATGTGTAGTATTAGCAAACCTTCTTCTGGTGTTCCTTTGAATCTTGCAACAAACAGCTGTTTTACTCGAGAATGGGCAAGGTATGTAGCTCACAAAAAACCTGTTCATTTGTTTTCCCTTAAATTTATGGGGAAAAAGAAAGACAGGTTCACCTGAATTCTTGATAAAATAGCTCGTCCGTGCTGAATAGACTGCAGTACTGCTAGACAGGCTTGCACACCTCAGTTTCTTTGAACGCCAGGCCTTCTCTTGGAAGATCACCTCAATTCTGTTTGGTTTCTTTTCTCCTAGGGTAGCTTACCCAGCCAAAGCCAAGGGCTCATTCACTGCTGACAGCCATCAGAATTTTGCTTTGTCCTTCCAGCTGATAGATGTGAACAGTGGAGCTGAACTCATCCCTCACCAGGTTAGGACAAATTTTTTCATTGCTGTGTCACAGAGATGTTCCATCTTGAAGCATCTGAGGTGACAGTTGCTCTGGAAAAGATTTGATAGGTTTTGAGAAGCCTTATGTTTCTGACATGAACTGTGAAAGATCACCGGTCTTGGTAGATGGGAAGTGGATTCAGTTCGTTTGTTTTGGCTGTATGTTAAATGAAGCCTCTTCGGGCTCTGGTACTGTATCTTACTGAACAAAAGGAGTGCAGGTAGCCTGCACTGTAAAAGCACACTGCTGATTTTTTTCAGTATAGATTGTTTGCTGGAAAAGTCCTTAAATGTAGAATTTCTTTAATTTTTTTTTTGCTGTGTAAATAGGAAAAAAACCCAAACCCTACGTGCATACATCCCTGTTGTGTGCTGTTGCATATACTCTGTTAAGTAACATTCAGTGTATTGCCCTGTACCCCAAGTGGGCCACTGGAGGGTCTTGGTCCTGTGTTACTGTAGTTACCCAGAGAGACATAGACCTTTGCTGATTTGCAGCGATCTAGACACCCAGGCTCCCAGTTTATACTGGAACTTTTGTTAATGTTGTGCTTTTTAGTTTGGGGTTAAATCTCTCATTTCACTGGCATTTGTAAATGTGCTATGAGGTATTCCAGAAATGTTTCAATCTTTCCTTTCAGACTTTTGTCCGACTTCACAACCAAAAGACTGGCCAGGAGGTCGTGTTTGTTGCAGAACCAGATAGCAAGAATGTGTACAAGTTTGAACTGGATACCTCTGAAAGAAAGACTGAATTTGACTCTGCCTCTGGTACCTACACTCTTTACTTGATAATTGGAGATGCCACTTTGGAAAATCCAATCCTGTGGAATGTGGTATGTAGCTGGAAGTGTGTTGATGTGGTTTTGACATTACTGGCAGTCTTAACAGGAGGGCATGGTACAGATGTGGAAGAAAAAAGCTCAAATGTTTTGTTCTTTCTAGTGAACCAAAATCCTTTTGGCCATTTACGGGCTCTGAGGTTTGCTGTTCGTTTTAAGTTTTTAAGTAAGCATCAAAGCAAGACAGAAATGAATGTTTGTTTCATCATGTGGTGGAGCAGAAACTTCAGAACGTTTATGGGTTTGATTGTAATTTCACAGCAAGCACTTCAAGGTTTAGCCTTTCTGTGCTTGCTGTGCTCAAAATAAGTCCAATTCTTAGTGGTGGGTGCATGACATTACTGCCTCTGTTTAGCAGAAATTGCTTGTTAAGCTTTTTCTTAGTTTCCTTTAAAAACCATGTCAATCATAGATTGACAAATAAGGAAATAGGCCACAGTAATGGAATAGGTTTTATAAAATTTTTAGTACGTTAATAATCAAACTTCTTGAAGTTTGTTTCATGCAAACTTCTGCACGATTTCATTTCAGGCTGATGTTGTGATCAAGTTCCCAGAAGAGGATGCGCCATCCGCAGTCCAGTCCAAGAATCTCTTTGTTCCCAAACCTGAAATCCAGGTACGGTCAAAAACAGGTATTATGTGCAGAGATGTGGGGCTTGTCCTACCAGTATTGTTTGTTCTCTTCATAATTTATTTTTGAAAAGTCATCTCTCACTGTACATACATCACTATGTAAGTAATGTAGTTAAAGGAAGACCAGAGTTACTGCTTAATGGAAAGAAATCTGTTGCAGTCCTCTGGAGTATGAGTAAATAAGCTGTGTGTCCTACCTGTAAGAGAGCAACTGGTGTCACTGAGAAGATTCAGACATGAAAACTCGACTAAGTAAGCACCAGCAAAAGCTCTCTGCTTTGAAGATTTCTCTTGCTTCATTCCAGCCATCTGTGCTGATGACAAGCTAACAAGTGCTTCTGTGAGTGCAAGGGAGGTTACTGTGCAAGAGATCAAATGTGCAGAGACTGGAATAGACGCTGCTTTAAAGAGTCAGTCTTTGCCTTAAGAGGAATGCTTATCATCCAGAGGAACATCTGGGACCGGCACCAGGGCTGCAGCTGGTGCTCTGGGGAGCTGAGAAGCTGCTCTGTTGGAATACTCCTACTTATGAGTTGGTTTTGTTTGTTTGCAGCACCTCTTCAGGGAACCTGAGAAGAGGCCTCCCACGGTGGTATCTAACACTTTCACAGCGTTGATTCTCTCCCCCCTGCTTTTGCTGCTCATTCTGGTGAGTGAACTGGGCCACAGAAGAACAACTTTTTTCCTGCCCAGTCCAAAGTCCCTTAGGAGGTTAGCCAGCTAAAGTCCCTATTACATCTCTTGGTTGATCATGACTAGCACAGCAGTGTTGGAGTCATAGCTAGCAAAGGTCAGTGCAGAGCATGGGTCTGGTGTTGTCTCTTTCCTAAACTGCTGCTTCTGAGTTTATAGTCGAAACAGAGAAAAACTGCTGCCAATTAGAAGAAGGTGGGGTGAGTTTCTCCAGTGTCCTTCTGCTAGGGATGTTGAATAACAGTGGGCAGGTTAAGTTATAACTAACATTAGATTTCCGCAGGAAAGCGAGCAGTGATTCTGCCTTGAACTTAGTGTATCCATCACAACACAAACCTGTTTGCTTAATCCTATCAGATGGATTCCCATTTATGGATGTAATTAGTATTTGGATGTCTGTAGTTGAAACATCTTCTGTTACTGTGTCATCAGATCAGTGTTTAGAACTTGATGCAATACAAAATCTCATCAAGTTAAACTACTCCTTATTTGGGGGGTGAAACTGATCCCTTATTTGCTTGGCAGTAATTTCCCATTAGCTAGTCTCAATGAAAGCTGGCATTCAGATGGTCATGTCCACTGGTCTCTGGAGTTCACAATATACGTGTTGAGGACACTTCAGTGAAAAATCTCATTGCTACTGCTCCTGTTTCCCATCCTTCATGCCTTTCTCGTTTGTACTCTAAAAACTGAAATTGTTTTAATGAGCAAACATCTTGTATCTGTAGCTGGGGTTTTGCTGTGTCCAAAACTAGAACCTTACCTCTTTTTTGTCTTTGTAATTGAAATTAATTCAGCTGGATAGAAATAGCAATGTTTATTTTTCTGGGAGATGTAGATTTGGAGCAATACTCTCTGAGTTAAAGATGACTGAGGAACTGCACTTGGGCAGTTAGAAGCAGCAGGAGAAATTTTCACTAAAGGAGCTCAACAGTGTTGTCTTTAGCAAAATTACTGCTCCGTCCTCATGTAGAGGAGACTACACTGTATTCACTGAAGAGCTTAACACAAACAGGCTGGGAAGATCCTGAAGGTTAAAATAAAAGCTTGTGTTTACAAGGCTGTTATAACTCAGATTTTGTTTCTTTTCCTTTTAGTGGATAAAAATAGGTGCCAACATCTCCAACTTCAGCTTTGCTCCCAGCACCATTGTTTTTCACATGGGACATGCTGGTAAGTGTCAGAGGCTTTCTGCTTTGTTTGACCTTCTCACCTGGGAGTTAGAGATGAGAGCCCTGGTGGTTAATGGGCTTGCAACCTATTAACTATAATGACATAATAGCATAACATTTGTTCTCTTGTTTTCATCTGCCTTCCTGCTTTTCATGATTGTTAATATGGTGGTAAAGCTGTTTTGGCCATCAGCTTATAACAGCCATCATTATCCGGGCTCGTCCCTCTCCCCATTTATCTGTACTTAATAGAACCTCGTATTTCCAGAGGTCACACTTTCTCTATTGCGTGTTTATCCTTTGTAAGCAGGGAGTTTCTGTGGGGAATAAAACTGGGGGACTGCTGTCTAAGTGAAAGACAGCAGCTTTTCTTTAAAACTTTCATGTGAAAGCTCTTTTTTTTTCTTTGGCCGGACCAATTTTTTTTCATCAATTTTATTATGCCCTTGGTTGCACAGTTATTTACTGTCTTGGTAGAATTTCAAAAACATATCAGGTTGGGAGAACATTGGATGTACTGTTTCCCAAATGACAGTGTGTTTCTTAATCCAAGCCAGTTTCCTTGGAAGCTCTATAAAGCTGTAAGCTCCTACAGATGTGCAAAGGTTAGTGTCCTCTGTTGAAATCCAGAGTATTTGCCTCCTTTTAGTAGCCCTTAATGTCTATAAAGATCCACAATTCTGGCACAAGAGGGTTGATTGCAAGCTGTCAGTGTCACATTTTTCTGCAGTATGGAGACCCAGATGCCTTCTTCCCCTGGCAATAATGTATAGTCTTTAGATCTGCCATTTCAGAGCTTCAGAAGTGAGATAAAAACCAAATGCATAGGCCTGGCAGTGCAACGTAACAGTTGTTCTGAGAATAACAAATGGTTGGTCCTTGAAATGCAATTTCAGCCCTGGGCGCGCTCTGGTTTTTTTTCACAGCGATGTTGGGACTCATGTATGTCTACTGGACTCAGCTCAACATGTTCCAGACTCTGAAGTACTTGGCCATTTTGGGTGGCGTCACATTCCTGGCAGGCAACAGGATGCTGGCTCAGAAAGCAGTAAAACGGTGAGCCGGGGGCAGATGTGCGGTGGGAGCTGCTTTTACAGTCGCTGGGGAGGAGCTCACGTTGATGCTCTGTGTGTCAGTAGGTGACACGGTGATGAATGCTGCTTTTGGTTCTTGGGTGTGGGGACGGACTGCTCGGTCCCACTTCTGTGCCTGTTGTCAGAATAAGGGCTTGAACTGAGTAGGGAGATGAGTGGCTCTCACTGAGATACAGCTAACTGCTCCACGTGGCCGCTTGCCAAAGTGATCAGTCACAGAAAACGCAAACTGTGGAAGTATGTGCACTCTGACGTGGGGAAACCCATATTTGGTGGGACACATTCACTGACAAATTTGTTTTACTACATGACCTATCAAGCTCTTACAGTATTGTTAGATAATAAAAGCCACTTTAAACACAGAAGGGGCCTAACTCCTCTGTAGCTGTGCGTGTGAGAGAAGTTTTAAGAGGAAGGTAAGGTGTGGCTATCTTTCTGCTGTCTCCCCCTGCCTAAAGGGGGATTATAGAGAAAAGGGAAGCAGATTGGAGGTGTGCAGCAACAAAGGACAACACACACGAGCAAAACGAGGGAAAATTTACATTCTGGTAAATGTTAAGGATACAACATTCATTTCTGTGCTGGCATTGGACTGATTCTTCACACTTGTGTCTTCTGCCACGCAGTGTCTCGTGACTGCCATGGCTTAGGCAGCCTGCAGGCAGCTTGCTGGCCCGGGCTTCCAATACAGTGCATTAATTACAGGGCGAACCATTCCCTCTCCTTCAGTTCTGCCACACGGGGTTTCCGTGTGAAACTTAAGTTTTAACCTTTCTGTACTAATGTAGAGTTTGGCTTTGAAGATGATCTTATTGACATGCTTTGCCATCAAACCTGTGCTTTTCTTACTTTCCCCTCTTTGAGCCACTAGGAGTTGTTTATCCTTGGATAGATACCCCTGGGTTCTCAGTTTTTTGATTACACTGTATTAAAACTGGGACAAGAGCTGTTAAAAAAAAAAAAAAAAACAAAACACAAGTATATAGTTTTCCAGGTGTTTTGCATTGGTTTGTGGTCTTTAAAACGTCTCTACTTGCATGGCTGTAGCAGGGAGGATGATGATTATCAACCCTTTCCATACCATCCTCCCAGCTTTCTCAGCCTTGCTCCCCTGGATGTCCAGCTCTCTCCACTGTGGCACTTTCTCTTGTTAGCATAACAGTTCTTACTGGGATTTTGTTGCCACGGGGCTATGTTATGTCATGTGATAATATTTCCTTTTTAATTTAAAGAGTAATGATAAGATCATTATTAATTACAGATTGCCTAGGATACAGGTTTGGGGGAAAAGAATACAATGAAGCTTACTTCTAAGTGTCTTTGCTCAACCAGGGCTTCTGTTAGCACATAAATGCAGGTGGTTGGTTCCTACTTCAAAACACTGCAGGGGGAGTCTGTATGCTCTTTCACGGTAAATGACATGAAGCTGCAACTACAATGGCAAATTTGAAAGTAAAACTTCTACCTTAAGCTAAAGTTAAACCCTTTGTACATGGCTTTAAAGTTCAAAAAGGCGTCTCTTTGTTAACGCGCGGCTAGCCTGGCTCAGATGTTGAAGTGCAGTGATAATTAACTAGATTGCACTTTGAGGCAAAGCTGCTGTTCCACTATGGAGACCGCTGGCGGGCATGGGAAGGGGACTGGAGAAACCATCTTTTTACAGAAGTTACCAGAAGGCCTGGTTTTGCTTTTTGCATTTCTGTCACTGGCTCGGGTTGCTGGAGCAGGCCTGCTTTCCTCCTTGCTATCCTCTCTGAACCTTTCTTCCTCTCTCCTTTTGGCAGGATCGCTGCAGAGCAGAGCAGTAGGTTGGCAAAATATAGAACGCTGCGGTAAAAGGGTTTTGCTAGTGACCAGCTCTTCTAGAAGTAAGGGCCTTTTTGGAATTTGCCTTTCCTGGGCATGCTGCCTGTTTCATTTCACTTCATCACTCGCTCCTTGTACAAAAAGATATCTGAGCTGAAGCTGCTTCCTTCTAACATTGCTTATTGGGCTTTAAATCAGTCCTTGGGTGTCCTTGACTACAGCTGGGTGTGCGTGTTAGCAGTATGTGTCCTCTGAGACTAAATTTGCCTTTGTGTGAGTTCCTTAATCATCTGAAGTCTGTATGGTAATATTTACACATGTGAATATCCTGTCCTGGGTGCCAAGCAGCTATCAGGTGATGAAATAAACCTGGTGTAAGCAATGTTGTTCCTTTAAACAAATTATTAGTAATGTTGGCTGGAGGAGAACATGATGAAAATGGGTGATACCTGGACTGTTCCCATCCTGCTGTTGGTACTCCCTATCCCCTGTGCAGTGTTCTGGTTGTTCAGCTGCCAGGCACTCCAGCTGCTGAATTACGCCCTTGCTTGGGGTGGTGAGAGGTCTGTGTGCAGCAGAGCCAGGTCAGCACCACCTCATTCAGCTGAGAACATGACCTAATCCAGGGTTCACCCTCCTATTAGACTGAGCTGGTGACTCAGTCAGCGGCAGCAGCCAGCCCCCTCCATTCAATACAATCATCTGGTAGGTCTCCACTGTCAGTTACCGGTGCAAAGCCCTTTGTTTCCTTTCATTCTGAGCAGGTAAGATCCCAGTTTGCTGTTTCCGCGGTGGTGTGGGAAGCAGGACTGTCTGCTGCTCTGCATGCTCCCCAATTCTGAATGTGCATGTGTGGCTTCATTCCTTGTTCAGCGCACCATTTTACTTTGGAGAGAGCATCTGGGACAAGTTCTGTGATGAGACCGAAATCACTGTACAGCGTGCTGCACGGGTACATCTCGTGAGCATCTGCTCTCTGTCATGTTCACAATCAGTGCTTGGGGCGCACACACAGTGCATTGAACGGAGCTCAGGTTTTTTTTGTGGTGCAAAACATCAAAAGAAGTGTGGCCAGCAGGTTGAGGGAGGTGATTCTGCCCTTCTTATCTGCCCTCATGAGACCCCACCTGGAATACTGTGGCCAGCTCTGGAGCCCTCAGCACAAGAAAGACGTGGAGCTGTTGGAGCGAGTCTAGAGGAGGGCTACTGAGATGGTCAGAGGGTTGGAACACCTTTCCTACGAGGACAGACTGAGAGCGTTGGGCTTGTTCAGCCTGGGAAAGAGAAGGCTCTGGGGAGACCTACTAGTGGCCTTCCAGTACCTGAAGGGGGCCTGCAGGAAGGCTGGGGAGGGACTTTCTACAAGGGCCTGCAGTGACAGGACGAGGGGTAATGGTTGGAAGCTGGAAGAGGGCAGGTTTACACTACATACAAGG